ACAATCCCTATTAGCAACGAAGGATGAACTCGAACTCAGTGGCTATTGACTACTCCTATTGGCAATCGAGGATGTAGTCGAACTCAGGATCTCTCTATCAATGCACCCCAAAGTCCCTATCGAACCAATTGGTCACCTAAAGGTAGTTTAAGTCCCACCATCTCCTATACCGTGTTGTTTTCCCCTACCTCTCACTTTTCCACCATATAAATCTCCTTCCGACATAAAATTATGTATTCTTTAGGCTTTTTATTGTTTAAAAATCTCTCTCTCGCCACTAGCCCATTGATCTTTAGGTTTGGAACAAAAATACTCACTCTTGTCTTGGTTTGTTCGATTTCTCGAAGAAGAATCTGATGACCCTTTGTAAGCAGATGGTTAAAACAAAAAACTAGTTACATAGGATCGCAAGAATTTTCTTCTGATCCAAGTTTTGAACTTAATTTAAATAAATTTATCGTTAATAATTAATAAACATAATCCTTAAAAAAGGCTAAGTTTAATCATATATATAATTATATTTTTGTTAATAATCATGAAATATAATGCATAAAAAAAAAGGGCAATTCAAAATGTCTTCTAAAAACTTATAAGGTCATAAAAATACAAAAACTTGATGATATCACTGTATACGAACTTTATTTTTTCTTATAAATAAGATTTAGAATAATTAAATTGTTTATTTTATAATATTTTTAATGTAAACCTTCTAGGTCACGATTCGTTTTGCATTTTTTTTTTTTTTTTTTTTAGTATTCGGGGGTGTTCGGGCCAGCTTGCCCACACCTTAACTAGTTTCTCGGAACCTTGAAGTTAACGGTTAAATAAGCCTCCAATATTACTCATTATTAGTAGTCGTAATCCAAGAATCTCGAACGAACTGTCAAGCTACCTACAAATTATTGTTTTGCATGCATTAGTTGTGACTGTGAGAGTACTTGTGGATAAAATCATAAAAGAATTACCAAGATTCTGCAATGAATGAATTTTTCACCAAGAAAATATGTATGATTTTCTGCCGTGTAAAATACTTGACCTCCTGTTTGGACCTTTTCAATCTGCCATATTATGCACCAGCTGTTGAAGAAGTTAAGCAGATGATTAGAACAGAGGCCCACTTTGTTGTCTAGGCTAAAACAGTAAACGACTTTTCCCACCCAAGGTTTGCCTTAATCCCACCCAAGGTTTGCCTTAATGATTAAGGCAAACCTTGGGTGGGGAAAAGTCGTTTACTGTTTTAAGTCTTTATAAATTGTCTAAGTGCCTACAGCAATGACCCAAAAGGTTAATATGACAACGGGATGTCCAATAACTAGAAAAATTCCCACAAAGTCAGTCTAGAAAAAAGTAACCTCACTCTCTAGAATTGAGGGTGGATTCCACCGTCCAACCATTAACAACCGACACACAACACTTGAATTGTGTAATCACGCGCCTTCTTAAAGTTTCAGTTCAAGAAGAACTCTAATAGTCTCCTACCTTCTCATTTGCTCTTTCAACTGCCCCACGGTAACCCAGAAATAAAAAACAGAAAAGAAACATGTTCTTCAGTACTACTACCACCCAAATGCCATCTGCCAAGACTGTAGTTTCTGTTGCCGCCTCGGCAGCTGGCACGGCGATGCTTGTTCGGAAACTTGCACGTGACTATTTGCCTCACGAGGTACGAGATTACTTGTTCTTCAAAGTTAGAGATTTCATTGCACGCTTCTCTAATGAGTTAACTTTAGTCATTGAAGAATCTGATGATGGCTTTAATCTAAACCAACTTTTTAAAGCGGCAAAGTTTTATCTTGAATCGAAGATTCCCCCTGATCATGTGAGAAGAATCAAAATCAACCTGCCAAAAAAGGAAACCAAAATTTCACTCTCGGTGGAAAAGAACGAAGAGATTGTTGATAAATTTAATGGGATTCATTTGACATGGAGATTTATATCAAAACAAGCCCCATCAAAGGTTGTCCGCGACCCACTCCATTACGGCCCTACGGTTCAAAATCAAGTCAAGTTTTTTGAGTTGAGTTTTCACAAGAAACATAAAGATGTGATCTTGGAGAATTATATTCCTCATGTTTTGAAGAAATCCACAGAAATAATCGAGGAAAAGAAGACTTTGAAGCTTCATACTTTGAAACTTGATGGGATGTCTGGAATGGATGCGTGGCAATCAGTGAATCTTGACCATCCAGCAACTTTTGATACTCTGGCAATGGACTTGGATAAAAAGAAAAGGATAATGGAGGATCTAGAGAGGTTTGTGAGGAGGAAAGAGTTTTATAAGAGAGTGGGGAAGGCATGGAAAAGAGGATACTTGTTGTTTGGTCCTCCTGGTACTGGGAAATCAAGCTTGATTGCCGCAATGGCAAATTATCTCAAGTTTGACATCTATGACTTGGAGTTGACCAGTCTTATGGGGATTAGTCGGTTAAGGAAGCTGTTAATTACCACGGAGAATAAGTCCATCCTCGTTGTAGAGGACATTGATTGTTCAATTGACCTTGCAGAGGGAATGGCTAATTCAATGAATTCGGAAAAGATTCCTAAGCACCTTCGATATAGATTTAATCAGGTAATATTATTGCTATCTGTTTCTTTTTTCAAGTTAATGTTTCTTTAGTGTGATGTCTCTTGGTTGATGTGTTGGTAAATTTAACTCAGCAATGTTCAAATTCATGTTTTAATTGCAATTGTATTGAAATAGAGTGCCATTTTATATTGCAAGTCACAAACTTTGTTGTCTAGACTTTCTGTATTTCTATTGAGAGTTTTGTAATAAATTCAGAAAATTTCACATTGGGGTACTTGGAAGGAGTTTGGGGGAAAACATGTCTGGCTCATACAAGACATGCCATTGGGAAATAGTACTCAATCAATTCAGAACTTAAAGCTCTTTTACTTACTGATATTTGATATTTCTACTTTCAAACAAGAGTATAGCTTATAGCCTTTGTGCGAGCACATACATTTTACAAGTGGAATCATCTGTCAAGCATCAGTTCTCAAGCGAGATAGTCACTTACTCAACCTACAGATGTGAATATGGTTGTGCCAGCAAAAGGCCTCTATGGTTATTCTTATCGACAGATGTTGTACATTCTTAGTTCACATTTATTTTTTATCGGTTTCGGGTGTATCTTATCTTGAAACTTAAGCTTAATTACTTGATGCGATGTCCAATATTGTTTTGCGATCTCAAAACTTGGTGTCAAGAATTCCTGTATTTTGAAAAGTTTACAGTAACTTTGGAAAGTTTTGATGTTACTGGCCGAGAGAGGTTTTTTGCCCAGTAGTTGGGGTATCATGATGACTAGGTTATACAGGACAGACCATTTGAGTTTTGATCAGTGGTAATCCAATAAATTAGATCTTTGTTTGACTTATTGATATAGATTATAAACTTTTGTGAGCGTATAAGTGATACTCTATCAAATAATTGGTGGGTTAGTAAAGTGATACTCTTAGTCACATTTTTTTTTTTTTTAACAGTATCGGGTGACATTATCAGAACTGCTAAATTTCGTAGATGGATTGTGGTCAAGCTGTGGAGATGAGAGGATCATAGTGTTCACAACCAATCACAAACACAAACTTGACCCTGCATTGTTGCGCTCTGGTCGCATGGATGTGCATGTCCACATGTCTTATTGCACTCCATTTGCATTCAAAATTCTGGCCTCCAATTATCTTGGCACCACACAGCATCCACTTTGTACAGAGATTGAAGAACTGATAGCGGAAACCAAGGTGACTCCAGCAGACATCGCAGAGCAGCTGATGAAGGATGAGGATGCTGAAAATGTGCTCAGAGGCCTTATTGAGTTTCTTGAAAATAAGAGGAGAGAAAATGATGAAAGTAAAGCCAGTGAAGCTGAAAAGGTGGCAATAGAAGAAAAAGGTAAGCAACAGCTCGAGGAAAATGCAGTTGGAGAAGGGACAATAATAATTGAATAAGCACGGTAGCTTGAGTAAAGTTAATATAGAGGTATGCAAGAGACAGTAGTTTCTGAACAAAATTGTGGCTAGGGTAGTAGGCTTTGGCCTGAAATATTATTGTTATGATGGATGATAATTGATTTAACCACTATGTACTATGCTAGGAAATATGCATTGCATTTTCTAGACTTGTCATGGCCAAATAAAAAGCTCTTTGCGCACATGTTGTTTTCCCTAAAACTGCAGGGTTATTACATGGAACAAAAGTAATGGAATATTGTTTCAGAACGAAATTAAATAAATCTCATACCACAGGGCTGGTTTCAACCAATTGCTTATCCCACTAGTCACCCAACTCCAACAAGTGATATCAGAGTCAGTTCCATTTGAACTGAGTGATTGACCAGTGCTGGACTGTCAAATTACCTCCATTTATAGGCAAATGGACCATATGGACTTGATCGTGAGTGGGAGTGGTTTAACTCCTCACCCAAAAGCCATTATTGAGTGGGAGGATTGTTTACTCTTATACACTCATAACTCATTGGCTTGAGAGTGTCTAGTCGATATGAGATCTCTAACACTCCCTCTCACGGTCAAGCACATATGGTCCACTTGCCTATGAATGGAGGTAGTTTGACAACCCAACGCTGGTCAATCACTCAGCTCAAATGGGGTTGGCTCTGATATCACTTGTTGGAGTTGGACCTAACTCCTCACCCAAAAGGTCTTATTAAGTGAAAAGATTATCCACTCTTATAAACCCATTGACTTGAGCGTATGTAATCGATATGATATCTCCAACTGTTTTTTTACTCTCCTTTAAACGTGATTTGATGAAAAGTATATATATTCAGTCTCATTTTCATCTTGCAGCGACAGTGCAATTTTGTCCATAATATTAATAAAAAAAAAATAATAAATCTATAACTACCATATATCAGTTCAAAAAATCTTCCACGGGCAAAGACGTCAGCTTATTCTTGGTTTCATATACATCTATTTACAATAATTGAACTGGTTTTGAATGACTACGGGAAAGTCATAGTAAAACTCTGGATAAAGCCATGGAATTGAAGGAAGTTCTTCACATGAATGGAGGAGAAGGCGAAACAAGTTATGCCAACAATTCTTTGATCCAAGTCTCTCTCTCTCTCACTCACACAATTTATATCAGAAATTTTTGTACTATTTTCTCTAGTTGAAATAACCATTGATTAATAGTTCCTCTCATTTCGTTTTTTAAGAAAGAAGCTATGTTAAAGGCAGAGCCGGTATGACAAGAGAGCCTGGAAGAACTGTACCTCAGCAGTTTCCCTGAGTGTTTAAATATAGTAGATTGCGGATGTTCTTCAGTACCCAACTCAATACTGTTGGTCAGGGAGAGCCTTGAAGAATTCCAGTCCTTGTTTCATAGCTGCAGTGCCTGGAACTTTCTATGGGAGGCTCTTCTCTAACAATTTTGTTCATACTTCTTACAGTCTTCAATGGCGGTCTCAGGTTAGCCATCTTTATCTTATCAGTTTCACCAATAATTTTCAAGATACATCACTAAATGACATGGTCCTGGAGGTACATCACTCTAAGAATCAATGTTGTCATTCTCCATTTTTGACAAATTTTGCATCATAGCCTAAGCAACATGTGACATGTCTTCAATAGTGACTAGTTATCTTTTAATGCAGGGGTTGATTGAGGAGGATAAATTGGACCAGTTCAATCTCCCCTGTTATGCACCTCCTGTTGAAGAGGTTAAGCAGATGATTAGAACAGAAGGGTCTTTTAGCAGCCGAAAATTTGAGATATTTACAGTGGATTGGGCTCCAAATGCAAATATAGAAGATGGTAAAAAAGTGAGGTTTGATAAACAAACAAGAGGGAAATATGTGGCAATTTGCTTTAGAGTAGTTACAGAATCCCTTTCAGAAAATCACTTTGGGAAGGAGGTAATAGACGATTTGTTTGAGAGGCTTGCCAGGAAGATAGTTGAGTACTTGGACGTGGAGAAAAGAGAATGGTCCTTTCCTTAACTAAGAAATGAATTTTCCATCTCTTTCTAAGGGAATACCATAGCATTAATGGAAGAAGGGTTTTTGTTCATTTGATCATTTAAACGAAATTATTTATTATATATTTTCAACAAAAAATAATAGAGTAAAGCTCCCACTCGTCCCTTTCTCCACAGGACCCCAAAACCAAACTCCAAGCCAAGCTAGGCTACTCACACCCCCAGCCGTGCCACCCCACTCCACCCTCGCTGGGCGCCCCACCGTGCGTTCCTCGCAGCCTTGACACACCACTCCACCCAACAGCCCTTCTCCATCGTGTACTATTAGAAGATTACAGCACCCCTTTCGCGCCTTTCCAGTTCACAAGCCTCTACCACAGTTGAAATTTATCTTTTTTTTTTTTTTTTTTTTTTTTGCTCACCACCTGATGTTGTGTGTTTTGAGCAGTCCATCTCTGGTCTGATGGTGCAGTGGTGGGGTGTAATGTTGGGGAAGTATGGGGGCACGCGGTAAGGGGATGAGTGGAGGTGCCCTGGTGCCCTGGCTGTTGGGTTTGGATTAGACCTCTGAGTGCATTTTCTGCCCCTTCATCTGCTCACAGATGTCTGCAGCGGTCACCTCTTCTGTCAGCGATTGAAGAAGAAGAAGCAAAGAATTGCAGAAATAAATTCTGTACATTGTATTTTTTTTATCATACATGATTTGTACAGTAGTTATTTATACATGAGGAATAATCTGTAAAAGGCAATGCACATATTCTGCATTAATATCATAATTCCATAGATGTAATGAACAGTAAAACAGGAATGTAATGAAAACGTAATATTTGACATTAGAGTCAAAATATTAGTTTTCCTAATTCAGTAATGCTCATAGAAGTCTGCAGCAGTCACATCTTCTTTTAAAATAAATCGTTGTGCACATTTTGTTGTTGTGATAATTTCCTTTTTATTCCTCTCTTTAGAATTAGGGATTTTCGTCTACAGCCGCCTCTCACCTCCAGCTCCACTGCTCCAGGCCGACTTCCGTCGCTGCTCCATTCTCATCCTCCTCCTCTACTTCTCCTTAGCTTCACCTTCCTCTTCAGGTACGATTTTCGCTTTTTTAATTATTTATTTGAATGTTCTAGTTTCTGTTTAGTTGCTGAGAAAATTAAAGCATGTTAAAGAAAGTTTGTGACTTTTTATGACGTAATTTTTGCAGAGGAGTTCGGAGAGTGTTTATTTTGTGATTGGATAGTAGTGGGGTCGGGGAATGGTAACGGGACAGGGTATGGGAAGTCTGGCCCCACCCCATTGTCATCCCTGTTAGCACTTAGCACTGATGTAGGAAAATCTTGAATATTTTAGCATTATTAGAATTTTAATTCAATCTTTTAGTAATAAAAGAACTCGAACTAAGTAGACATTATCTTGGATTTTTTATTTACTTTTCCTAGTAGAATTATGATTAACCTATTTCCTAATAAAATTATGATTAATCTACTACAAATACGGTTATTATGTTTCAAATTATTCAATAAGGTCTCTAATAAAATTTGGGGCAGTTTATTAAAACAACCTTTTAAGTTTGGATTTAATTAAAAAGCTATCAAGTTTTAAAGTTTTACTAGATAGTCATATTATTGATTAAGGGTAATTATGATTAATGAAGTATTATATAATCTTTTAAAAATTATACTATATTCCCAAAAATCTGAAATTCTTGCAAACAAACCCAAACATCTTCTTCTTCCTCCCACCATTAACGCATCTCCACCTTGGTTGCTGTTTCTTCTCAGCTTCGTCTACATCTTCTTCTTCGTCTGCATCTTCTTCTTCATCTACATCTTCTTCTTACTCCTTCCTCTACATCTTCTTCTTCCTCCCTCCTTCCTCTATACTTCTTGTTCCTCCGCCATTAACACTTTCTTCTTCCTCCACCATTAATATCTTCACCGCCAAGGATCCCCCTCCTCCTGACATTTCGTGTAAATATTTGTATCTTCTCTTTACATTTTATATTTAGATTTACAGATTTAATAATGGATGGGGTTTAAGTTTGATTTGATTTAGTTGTTTAGGTTGTTGGGTTGTATTGATGTAATGCAAGTTAAAAGGATGAAATTTATTGAAAATTTATTCTGGTATGTGTTCTGGGTATGATGGTCGATTGCAGTGGAGATGGCTGAAAATTTATTTTTGGATCGGATGGATCGCTTAAGCGATCTGGTATATGACAAGATCGCTTAAGCGATCTGGTATAAGTCTGGTATATGGTACCAGATCGCTTAAGCAATCTGGTTATGATAGAAGATCGCTTAAGCGATCTGGTATAAGTCTAGTATATGGCAACAGATCGCTTAAGCGATCGATATATAGCAGCAGATCGCTTAAGCGATCAGGCTTATTGTACTAGGTCGCTTAGCGATGCAGTAAGCAATTTAAGCCATGCAGTAAGCAATATACTTCGGTAAGAAATTATATTCCATAATGTTTATAATATTTAGTCTTTTTTTATTAATTATTAATTTTTTTTTTCATTTCAATAGAATGTGAAAAGAACACTTCGTTCTTTGTCAATAAGCACCATACATAAAACTGAAAAATCTATTGTTATTCTATTATTTTTGTTAGTTCTTGCAAGAAAGTAATATAAAAAAATATAATATTGATATAAAATTGAACTCTGCAACCATCTATTCGCACTCGTAGACCAAGGCTAAATAGACAGATCGCTTAAACGATTAGGGTAATTTACTTCAATTTATTTTCCATGTTTATGGCATATGTTTAATATAGACGTAAAAGAACTAATTTAATTAAAATATAATAACGGTCATGGTCCCTGAACAAACCGTAACCTGATATGTTTAATATAGACGTAAACATTCTACACCATATATGTTTATATCCAAAAAGAACTAATTTAATTAATATAAGAACGATCATGATCCACTGAACAACAGTACACCTGATATGTTTAATATAGATGTAAACATTCTCCATCATATATGTTAATATAGCTGTAAAAGAATTAATTTAATCAAAATATAATACGGTCATGGTCCACTGGACGAATCGTACACCTGATTGTTTAATATAGACATAAACATTCTATACCATATATGTTTAATATAGTCGTAAAACTAATTAATTAAATATAATAACGGTCATGGTCTACTGCACGAATCGTACATCTGATATGTTTAATATAGACGTAAACATTCTACACCATATATGTTTTATATAGCCGTAAAAGAACTAACTTAATTAAAATATAATATCGGTTATGTCCACTGAAAATTGTACACCTGATATATTAATATAGACATAAACATTTTCACACCATTATGTTTAATATAGCCGTAAAAAACTAATTTAATTAAAATAATCGATCATGATCCACTAATGAATCGTACACTTGATATGTTTAATATAGACGTAAACATTATACACCATATATTTTAATATAGCCGTAAAAGAACTAATTTAATTAAAATATAATAACGTTATGGTCTACTGAACGAATCGTACACCATATTTTTAATATAGACGTAAACATTCTACACCATATGTATTTATATAGCCTAAAAGAACTAATTTAATTAAAATATATAACGATCATAGCCTTTTGAACAAATCATACACCTGATATGTTTAATATAGATGTAAACATTCTACACCATATATGTTTAACATAGCCGTAAAAGAACTAATTTAATTAAAATATAATAACGGTCATGGTCTACTGAACGAATTGTATACCTGATATGTTTATATAGACGTAACATTATACACCATATAGTTTTAATATAGCCGTAAGAACTATTTAATTAAATATAACAACGGTCATGGTCCACTGAATGAATCGTACACCGATATGTTTAATATAGACGTAAACATTCTACACCATATATGTTTAATATAGCCGTAAAAGAACTAATTTAATTAAAATATAATACGGTCATGATCCACTAAGCAAACCGTACACCTGATATGTTTAATATAGACATAAACATTCTCCATCATATATGTTTAATATAGTCGTAAAAGAACTAATTTAATCAAAATATAATAACGGTAATGGTCCACTGAATGAATCGTACACCTTATATGTCTAAGATAGCGTTAATCGTTTAACCAATCTAGTGAAGTACAATAAAATAATCCAAATACCCTGGATCGCTTAAGAGATTTCATTTCTCGCTTAAGCGATCCTGTGTATTTAGACTTAGTCGCTTAAGCGATCTGGTTTTATGTTATCGCTTAAGCGATTCTATGCTTTTACATTTGGTTGCTTAAGCGCATCATAGATCGCTTAAGCGATCATAGATCGCTTAAGCGATCACGACACAGACAGAATCAAATTGTCCAGACGCACGATCGCTTAAGCGATTTATTCTATCGCTTAAGCGATCCTTTGCTTTTAACCTTGGTCGCTTAAGCGATTACAACGTCTTAAGCGATCATGTCCGAATAGAATAAACTTCTGCCTAGATGCACAATCGCTTAAGCGATTAAGTGTATCGCTTAAGCGATTCTTCGCTTTTACTATTGGTTGCTTAAGCGATCATGAACAAGACAATAAAGAAATGCCGAGACGCAGGACGCTTAAGTATCGTTTAAACGATTCTTCGTTTTTATTGTTGGTCACTTAAGCGATCTGAACAAGACAATAAATAAGTGCCCAGACCATGATCGCTTAAGCGATCCTTTGCTTTTAACGTTGGTCGCTTTAACGATTTATAATCGCTTAAGCGATCATGTCCGAGGCAGAATCAACTTCTGCCCAGATGCATGATCGCTTACGATCTAAAATCGCTTATACTAGATCGCTTAAGCGATCTCTGTCATATCCAGATCGCTTAAGCGATCCTTTGCTTTTACTCTTGGTCGCTAAGCGATTTTAGATCGCTTAAGCGATCAGTCTGACGCTTAATTTGCGTCGGCATCCTCCTCTTCAGTTTCAATTTCAACTCTTGCCCTCCCTTGTTTCACCAATAGAATATCTCCGTCGACGCCGTCTCCTCTCCTAGTGGA